TTCAATAAGTGCCTAACAGAAGAACATATACCCAAAGATTGGGAGAATGCTGTAGTTGTTCTGATTGATCTACAAGAAAGGTGACCCGACTGATCTCGAAAACTACCGACCGATAAGCTTACTATCACAAATATATAAATTATTCACCAGAATAATCACCAACAGATTAGAGCGAAAACTCGTTTACCAACCAAAGGAACAGGCTGGATTCCGAAGCCATTATAGCACGACAGAACATCTACACACAGTAAGGCAGATGATCGAGAAAGCTACAGAATATGATATAAACCTATGGATAGCTTTTGTCGATTTCCGGAAAGCCTTCGACACGGTGGAAATCTGGGCAATAATAAAATCCTTGAGAAATGCCAGAGTGGATCAACGCTATAGAATTTTTAATACCTATTTAGAAGTACCAGTCGTTCTAGTGACTAAACGTATGTCGCTTCTTGAACGCACAAATAAAATTAGGTTAGGAAGTTGCTATTTGTACATGAAAGTGACGTATTAGTAATCGACGTTGGTTTTTGTTGGTAATTTTTTGTTTCATCTGATTCGTGATTGATAAATAAGGATGGGGCTATTCTAAATAGGTATTAAAAATACTATATATAAACCTCATTGATTGAAAACATCTATAAGTGCGCGTTCACATTGACACCGCTCGAGCGGTGAGCGTTGCGCGATGCCGCTGTAATGATGCCCAAAAATAGTTTTAACATTATATTTCAAATTAACATGTTCACACTGGAGCGGCGCGTCCAGCGGTGTTAACATGTTCATTTGAAATATAATGGTAAAACTATTTTTGGGCATCGCCACAGCGGCATCGCGCAACGCTCACCGGCTCGAGCGGTGTCAATGTGAACGCGCACTAAGACTTCGACAATGTCGATAAGACTTCATGAATCATCTGACCAGACAGAATAAACGCCAAAAGAGGAGTTCGGCAAGGGGACGTAATATCTCCAAAACTATTCACTTTAGTGCTCGAGGATATTTTTAAAAAGCTACAATGGGATAACAAAGGATTGAACATACATGGTGAACGCCTGCACAATCTAAGATTTGCCGACGATATTGTACTGTTCGCGAAAGACAAACAGGAATTGACAGATATGTTGGAAGAACTACAAGATGAGGCGGCAAAAGTAGGATTACACATGAACTACACAAAGACCCAGTTTATTACAAATACACCAGATGCAAACGAAACAATACCGATCCATGACAGCACAATAAAAAAGACAGAAACATACATATACCTTGGCCAAGCTATAACACCGGGCAAACAAAATCAAGAAATGGAAATTGATAGGAGAATTAGACTGGGATGGGCGGCTTACGGCAAGTTAAAGTACATCTTCAGCATGAATATTCCAACGACTTTAAAATCAAAAGTCTATAACGAGTGTATACTGCCTGTTGTCACGTATGGCTGCGAGACCTGGGTGATAACCAGAAGAATTAAACACAAATTGGAAGTGCATCAGAAAGCCATTGAAAGACGAATTTTGGGAATTTCCCTGAGAGAACACAAAACGAATACATGGATAAGGGAAAGAACCAAAGTCTCCGACATAATAAAAAGAATTGGTTCCCTAAAATGGCAATGGGCAGGACACGTGGCCAGACATACAGAAAACTGGAGCGGGTATATCACTAGATGGTGACCTTGGGAAGAGAGGAGAAGTGTTGAAAGACCCAAACAAAGATGGTACGACGCTATAAAGAGGGTTGCAGGCTTAAATTGGTACCGAGTTGCGCAAAACCGAAGACAATGGTCAAATTTGAAAGAGGCCTATATCCTAAGGATAGAAAACGGCTGAAAATGGAAAATGGAAAGTCATTTTGGCGATTTGTGAATTCTAAAAAGGGGAATTCAGAGTACCCACAGTGTATGAATTTAAACAACCATGAAGTAGTGAGCCTCAGGAAATTGCTGAGATGTTCAATAGCCATTTCTCATCGGTGTACTCAGTTTCAGACAAGACTTTTGTCTATTTTCAATTATCTGTTTTAGATATTTTTAATAAATTCAGCAAATTTGAGCAAACCCAGATGGTGTACCAGTTGTCTTGTTGAAGAGTTGCAGGTTTGTCCCTGCAGAGGTCTTATGCAGAATTTTTAATTTGTCGTTGAGTAGTGGTAGGTTTCCTTCATATTGGAAGCTTTCCTATGTTACACCAGTATTTAAGGCGGGAGACAGGCCAGACATAAAGAACTTCCGAGCAATATCCAAAATGTCATTAATTTCTAAAATATTTGAAGCCATTGTTGCAGACAATTAGATAACTCCACTGTTTAAAAACTTGATAATAAATGAGCAACATGCTTTTATGAAGGGACGATCCACAATATCCAATCTGTTATGCTATAAAAGAAGTCTGTTGGAAGTCTTTGAGAATAGGGTCAGGTTGACTCCATCTATACTGATTTCTTGAAAGCTTATGACAGGGTTGATCATGGCATACTGATAAAAAAGCTGGAAGTAATTGGGATTTTTGGAGTTCTACCCAATTGGTTGTCACCAAATGAAAACAAGCGGTTAAAATTAAGAATAATATATCATCTGAGGCGTGTGAACTCAGGTGTTCCACAAGGTGCACCTTTCAACATTTTTATTTAACTATTTTATCAATGACATAAAAGATATTTTCCGGGCCTGCCTGCTTCTTGCTTTTGCTGATGACCTGAAGCCTTTCATGGTCATAAGGTCTAAAAATGATTGTCGGTTCTTGCGGGAGGATCTTAATAGAACTACTATCTGGTGCAGAAATAACAACTTATCTTTGAATTTAAGTAAATGTCAAGTAATTTCTTTTTCTAGACTAGAAGAAACTTTTCACTTTAAATATACCCTGGACTCGGTGGAGCTCGCGAGGCAAACCTCAGTGAAGGATCTTGAAGTCTGGTTTGATTCTGAGTTGTCATTTACAAACCATATTGACAACATCATGCACAAATAGGGCCATTCGTCTGCTGGGATTTGTCTTTCGGGCCCTATCGAGGTTCAAAAATATCTTTACATATATAGAAATTTATTGTGCACTTGTGAGATCAGTTTTAGAGTATACTACATGTGTGTGGAATCCTCATTGTGCTGTGCACAGTGAGAAATTAGAAAGGGTTCAGCGTGGCATTATCCGGAGAGTTGGATTTGAGCTTAACATTCCTTATGATGAAACTAATTGTGACGAAATCATGAAGTTACTTAATCTTACTATACTAGAAAGTAGAAGAAGATACTTCGGCATTTCAACTTTTTATAAAATTGTCAACAACATATACATGATTCACCAGGGCTGGGACTTATTACTTTCATCAACTAATTAAAAGCTTGACAACAAAGTGCAATTTATATACGATGCAATGTCCCACCACATTCTAGCCAGGCGGTTCGCGTCATCCAATATACCTGGAATTTTGGGAATCTTAGTAACTTTTTGTTTGTTTGTTTTATCAAATAGAGCGACTGGAAAGGAGGTCAGTTCGTATGTCCAGATTTGCTCAAGTTTCTCGTCTGACTCTTTAGCAATAGGTACTTAATAGTTGCAATACGGTATGGGGATTAACAGAGGTTGGATAAACAGGTTGATCTTGAACCATTTTTGAACATTTCATGGTTGCAGGAGATAGCACCCTATTGTTGCGCTTGAATTTATTTAACTGACAATAGGGAATGGTGAACGGACCCAGTAACTGATAGTATATGGCGACCAAGAGAGATCAAGAGAAGATGGCGAGACGACATTCAAGTAATAGAAAGGAAGGAGTGGAAGGACTGGATACAAAAAGTTCAGAGAGGAGGAAAGACGATTTTTTTTTCTCGGGGAGCGAGTGGACAATTTTGAAAGAAGCGCATAGTTAAAGTGTGTTGATTTTAATATGATACTCGAAAGGAATGTGAGCTGGTAGCTCCCTAAATAAGAACGCCAATGGTCACCTGATGTCACACCTGTTTTTGCCATAAGCTTCACCCCCTCGCTGCTCATACGGAAAGCGTCAGATTAAAAACGACCGACAATATATAGGTATGGATGAATTTTGAACTGATGGGAAAAATGATTTGATGACTTCCACAAACCAGCAGCTTTTGTTATGCATGCAAGTTCTAACTTGATGTTATGGATGTTATAATTTACGAAGTTTCAACTGTCGGTTTTTATTTTTTGGTATTTTAAAAGCTCTTTCCTTTCATTGCTGCACTCAACCCCTATCCTTCTGAGAGATAACCAAACCATAGCACATACCAAAAAATCTAAAACGAATTACATATTTCGATAAAAATTAATCTAATATTATATAAATACAGTGATTTCAAGAATGTTGTTTGTTTATAGTATGTCGATAGGGATAATTTTTAATTTGGATATTCAAATTTTGATAATCGCATGTGGGCGTTTAAACTACGATTCACTAAGCTCAAATTGAAGAAGCAATCAAATCCTTATTGTTTCTGGCTCTCCTTGAGTCGTAATTTGATACAATGTTATTAAGCTTTGGAAAATGTCCACACTATGCTAATTTTCTCATTAAAAAACATATACTGGCGCCATAAAAATTATACTATTTTTTTAACATCTGCGCATTTCGGTAAACAACAGACAAATTTGTATAATGCGCTTTAATGTATTTAATGTTTTCACATTTTATTGGAGAAATTCGATCCTATAATAATACCCAAGCTCCAGCTCAATATATATGATGTGCTTAATAAACTTAACAATAATTAAGTATTAGCTGCGCCGAGAAACAGGCACAACGCCAAAAAAAATGTTGTGCCACGAATCTTTCAACTTTCAATTATAGAAACTTATTCATGGATTAAATTTGCATATGATATATTTTTTCGCAGTATTTCTCCGGCTCTGGTCAAGTGGTAACTTATTAAAAAAACTTGGTTAACATATAATTTCCAGAGGACAGTCTACTGGTAAAAATACATAACAATATTTGAATAGTAATACAATACCTACTAACTTCTATGCTTGCTTCAGATAAATGATGGAACCAATTCAACCAGTCGGAACCGAATTCTATTGCAAAGAAAATGCCAAAGAATCTCACACGGATATGTACGACCTGTTGGACACAGAAGTACCTTTTCCAGTATTGCGTAGAGGTTGTAACATGTTCTTTGCCATCAGGTTTAACAGAGATTATGTACCTACCCAAGATGTTATCAGGGTGAGATTTACTATTGGTAAGTAATAGTCGGAGTCATACATTTCTATCTAATAAGGTAATGTTGAAAATAGTTTTTTTGTTAAACGACATTTGTTTTTTTGTTTATTGCAATATCTCAACGATTGCAATTAATGATAATCCATTTTACCTACTTATCAAAATTCTAAATCTATAAACATTTTTCTAATAAATCATTATTCAAATGGTAAACATGTCACACAAGTTGTAATTAATCCACCTATTTGAATGCGCAATTAATAGTTTTTAATTGATATAAATAGCATAAATCAACAACTTAATTCGAATTCCAGGAGACAAGCCCAACGTTGTTAAGGGCACCCGAGTCATCTTGCCCATTATGACAAAACAGAAAAAATTGGCGCACGATCCCAGTAGATGGTCAATCAGTTTGGTCCAGGATTCTGGTACAATTATCACAGTGAAGGTTCATATTTCCGCCCATGCTCCAGTTGGTATCTGGAAATGTTCTTTGCAAACTAATATTGTAGGACAGAAAGAAAAACGTTTTGATTATGCGGTAAGTCATAGAAAAAGTGATTGGCACATAAAACTTATATAATTGGAATAGATAACCCTAGGAAATAGGAATCACTTTAGTTTGATAATAATTCGTTAGTTCGCTGTTTAAGTTATCAAACAAACTATTTTTTTTTTCCATAGATAAAAATGCGTTTGATGTTAATATACGTCTTAATACTCTTAATGATCAAAAAATCGCTTGACATGTTAAATGTTAGCAGATTTATTTTATTAGACACGTGTTTTCGTTTAGTTATAAAAATTTTAAGATTTAAAAATAGCAGTTCAACACTTTGGATGTTTTCCCTAATTTTATACAGAGCTAGAAATAAATATTGCTCCATGTGAAGACATTTTAAACGTACCTAACTGAACAGTACAGCTGCGATCTCGCCCTTCTTCTGATGGCTCTTAGACTCTTAGTCTTCGATTGGGAAATTGTAACAGTACCTATGATTTTCTGAAAAAACATCGACCTGGTGAACTGCGAGACGTGGATACTTTATCCAAGCGAGCATGTCCAACTCAATGCAAGCACTGCCTCAGAATAGACAAGCATGAAGGAGTTCCTATTAGAAGAATTCGATTTGGAAAGAATCAAGAATGGAATTCCGAGCAGCTTAGACGTGATCAATAACAAGATAGCGATATCGAAGCATCTGCACACTAAACTAACCATAGGGCTGCTATATATTATTAGTATAAGCTGGAAAAGGGGATCAACGTAATAGAGACAGGGGTTTCGTACATATAGATAGAGAATGAGAGACTCTCATCATTGTATCCTGTATCCTGCTTCTTCTTCTTCTTATAGTGCATCTCCTATCGGAGGTTTGTTATCATCATAGCAATCCGGAACTTGTTGACTGCAGCTCTGAGCAGTTGAACATTGCTACAATTGAACCAATCGTTTAGGTTTTTTAGCCAGGACATGCAGCGTCTGCCAATATTCCTTCCGCTCGTGTTCCAAGTTCTTCGCGGAGTCCGAATCGTGTATTGCTTATGCCTTCCTCGAGTCATCTGTAAATTGTTTTGTGGATGATCTTCAAGGGGGAATGAGCACAAAAGTAGATGATAACAATATGTTAGGAATTTCTCCCTTATCATAAATGCGGTTGAAAAGGTCCACCAGAATATTGATTACATCATCATTGAAAACTTTGATAAGCTCTATGATATATCAGATCAGGAACAGCAGCTTTATTGGCTTCCATAGTCTCCAAGGTATATACTATTTCTGACCTTAATATTTTTAAGTGCATATTGCTTGATTCTAAGACCGGTTTTGTAGGTGTTTCATCATCGAAGAGTTCCGACAGGTATGTCAGCCATGGCTTTTTTCTGGTTCTTATGCTTCTCAGAAGTTTTTTCAGCTATTTTCTTAACTGTGTCATGGATTTTAGAATTCTCAAGGAGTTTTGGGTCTATATAGTTGTTGAGACGTTTTGTTATCTTTTTCATCTTTATATTAAGTTTAGCTACAACTGGGTTGTGGTCGGGATGAATACCAGCCCCTGGGTATGTTTTTGCAGCTTTGACTGAATTCTTATAGCGGTTGCTAATGAGGATATATAGTCTATTTGATTTCTAACTGTATTTCCTTAGTTATCAAAAGGGATTTCCAGGTGTACAATCTACGATCCGGTAGTATGGAGAAGGTATTTGCTATCATGAGATCTCTAAATTGACAGAACTCTACCACAAGTGGTAGATCAAGATCTCTCCTTATTATTCTTTATTTCTCCTATGCCAGAACTCCCTGTGTGTGCTTTCACCTTGACTTTGCCTACTTTGGCGTTGAAATCTTCCATAACTATTGTGATATTATTACTCTTTATGCTTCTAAAGATAGCATCAAGTTCAGCATAAAATTCTTCAACTTCATCGTCCTCTTTATCCGCTGTTGGTGCATACGCCTGTATTATGTTTATATTTCCTGTATGGGTTTTAAGTTGGAGCATCATGACTCTGTAAATCTTTTGTTCAAAATCACTATAACTCCATATTAATGCTACGGGCCACTATTCCCAGAATAATAGAATGTGCCGTTACTTGTTTCGCAGCTGGCACTTCCTGGCAATCTCACATCACTAACTCCCAAAACATCCACATTTAGTCTTAACATTTCCTTTACAATGTTGTCCAGTTTTCCTAGTGCAAAAATACTTCTTGCATTCCACGTTTTGATATTGTTTGCTGATGGGATTAGTGGTATGGAAAGCATGCAAACGTTGGGAAGAGAAAAGCGACGTTAAATACAATAAAGGGATAACCGAGATGTTTTTCATGCCCCACAACAAGAACATGAGGGAAATAGACGGGGAAAACGTCATCCTACAGGGCTATGTCATGTATCTAGGAATAACCATCGACCCTCGAAGAAACTATCTGGAACCATCAGGGTCAAAGTATCAGAAATGACTATGTCAGGGATGATCAAACGAAAATGGGACCTCAGTAGAGCGGTCATTGGGGAGATACTTGATAGTCTTGAAACCAGCCATATTATAGCAACCGACATCTGGGGAGGCAAGGTAAACACAGTATTTGACAGGAGGCATATCGATGCAGCAACCACTGCTGCTTCTGACTTGCAGAGCCTATGCAAGGGACATACAGGCTGCTAAAACTAAAACAAACCGCACCCATCCGTGAGAGGAAGGATGGAAAAATAAAGAGCGTGCCACTGAACTGAGGTCCACGTGGACGCTAGCATGGGTCAGAGGGGAAGAACCGGTTTGGAAATTTACATAAGACTGGAAAACCAAAATATCAACTGACAGCACCTGATAATGTCACCACTGACAAAGCCGAGAGGATGGAGGTTTTAAAAGGATTACAGGCAGGGACCCAGATATCAGACATAAACCTGCTGATGACGACGGACAGGAAGCAGACATTGGTACGACTTGACAATGGACCTATCAAAGAAAGACTACCAGCACAGCGCATATATTAAAACTGACAGAGGAACACATGAACAATGGATGGTTCAGCCTAAAACCGAGAGACATAGAAGGGCGTTGGAGAAGTGGCAAAGACCTTGGAATAATGAGAGCAAGAACAGGGAGCTATACAATAAACATTGTAAGAAGGTTGGGTAAGAGAAAATCGACCTCAGCATCAAGGCGAGCCAACTGCTCACAGGCCACGTCAATTTCGAGCAATACGTCCATCGGTTTAGGTTCCGCCAAGTGGAGGGGACTTGCGCATGCGACCCAAACCTGATGGAGGACGCCCAGCACATAAGAGAGATCTGCAACCTCGACGAAAGGTTGATGATCAGAAATCAAATCATAGCCAAATATGGCGATCACAGGCTAACCCAGAGATAGGGCTAGCCCTGAAAAATGACAACAAAATAGAGTGACAGAAAAGAACATGAAAATAAACAAATGGGCAGAGGCGGCAGTGAGAGACAGATATGAGAGAGGCAGAATAGGCCTAAACGACAAATGGAACAAAACAAAGAAATAGCGCCAGAGAGAATACAAAATTGCAGAATGCAATGATACTGGAATATAAACTATATGATAAAGTATAGAAATAAAAATGATTGTAAATTAAATTATATAACAATAAAAACAGAAAAAGAAAGAAGGCACTCTTATACCGCTAATTTAACCATGGTTGGCGATAGGTTGTAGGGGTCTCTCGTTATTGAGATACTGACTGTGGCTTCTCTACTTGGTGAGTTCGCACACCGATTTGGGTATTCGACGCTTAAGCTGAAAGGCAGATGGCAAAATGATTTTCTAATCGAATGTACTAAGGATTCTTGCAGCCTTTAATGCAGTGGTTTCCCCTTGTCTTCTGCATCTACATGTCGTTGGTCTTTTTTTTATTATTCGTCCGCCTTTAGGTCGTGAATTCTCATCCCTAGGACAAGTAGTGGAGTGCCCTTACTCTCACCGTCTCATCCACCCGAAGCTGTTCGAGAGAACCTCGTTAGTTGTCTAGCTAGTAGGGCGCACCGCGAGCAGGTGAGGTTGACTTTGGGTTTGGTTTGATCTCCTCTACCAAAACCCTTAACATCCTGCTACCTTCCTCCAAATTGAAAACATGGAGATTTTGAAGAGTTAGTAAATTTATTCAAAACACAGATGCCACTCAGAAACGGAGATTTGGCTATAGAGCAGACTGGAAGCATTTTCGGTCTAAATACAAGCAGCCAGAGAGGAATAAACTTGGAAGACTGAATCGCACCAAAAGACCTGGTAGTAAGGGAACGTGCGTTCGTATGACCAGCCAGATTCTTCTTTGAAGATTTTGCTGTGGTTAGCTAGGAGAATAGAATAATTGAAGAAAAAATTGAAATCCTCAGCAACCATCGCATACCGCATCATATAGGATTCGAGTCTGAGTACATAAACTCGTGTACTGGTGGAAGAAATAATATCAATCAAAGTAGTGCATTAAACTCAGACGTGAGTTAACTATAGAGCACTGGGGCGGAATCTGGAAGGAAACCTTCCAAAAACTTCTAGGCTACGGTACAAAGACGTCAAAAAGGAGATTCCGACTTGCAAAAAACAAAAATGGATGGAGATTTTTCCAGGATTCGATGGCTGAATAGTGACTTAACAGCAAAATCTGGATCCTGGAAGGAAAATAGAGCCACACATCCAGCAGGTAAACAAACAAACTAACCAAAACAAACATAAATAGAATGGCACAAAAACAAGCGGACTCAGAAGCGAAATACCCCAACAGCAATAAGAGCAGATTCAACCCAAAAAATGTATGGAACCAGATAATACACATAAGGTTCTGTGCAAAAGGCTTCTCTGGAATGGAGGTGTACAACATGTGCCTAAATGGGAACTTACCAATATGCAAGAGATTGGTAGATTGGTGATGGTTTGGTTATATGTCCTTCCCAAAAAGTCAGTTAAATGATATTTGACCCTTGGTGTATGATAGAACTAATATGTTGGGCATCGTTTTGACTAAAGATCTTACATAGAGAAGTATCAAGTATACCAGGTAGGTACCACTGTCAGTAGTTGGTAGCGCTGCCGCTATCTTTTCAGAACATGGTGAACTCACCAGTTAGTGCCCCCCGAGGGGTAAACCACCTTGAAAAATATGTACATCAGAATCCCACGACATCCTACTGGAATTCCAAAAAAAAATTCTGTTTCTGAGTCTTCAAATTTGCTTTGTTTGATGAAAATATTGTAGTTAATACATCCTTCTGGAGTTGGAAATAACCTTATAATTTTATTTCTGAGCCTCAAATTGACTTCAAATTCAACTCGTATGATAGAAAGATCCTGGGTTTACGAATTCTGAAAGTTTCAAGTCGATCTGATACTCCGAAGTATTTTTCGGGATTTTTCTAAAATTGAAGGAACGTGAATTTTTTAAACTTTTTCTGGTATTAAGTTGGAAAAAAACCTCATCATTTTATTTTTGAGCCTCAAATTGACTTCAAATTTACCTTATTAGATAGAAAGATCCTAATTTATGAATCCTGGAAGTTTCAAGACGAACTGATACTCCGAAATATTTTTTGAGATTTTTCAAATGTGATTTAAGGTGAATTTTTCAACTTCTTCGGGTACCTATTGAGTTGGAAAAAACTTCATAATTTTACTTATGAGCCTCAAATTGACTTCAAATTTGCCTTATTAGATGGAAAGATCCTGGTTTAATAATCTTGAAAGTTTCAAGTCGACCCGTTACTCTGAAGTATTTTTCGGGATTTTTCAAATGTGATTTAACGTGAATTGTTCAACTTTTTCTGGTATTAAGTTGGAAAAAACCTCATAATTTTATTTGTGAGCCTCAAATTGACTTCAAATTTACCTAGTATGATATAAACTTCCTGGTTCATAAATCCTGAAAGTTTCAAGTTGATCTGATACTCGGAAGTATTTTTCAGGATTTTTCGAAGGTGATTTAACGAGAATTTTCCAACTTTTTCTGGTATTAAGTTGGAAAAAACCTCATAATTTTATTTCTGAGCCTAAAATTGACTTCAAATTCACCTAGTATAATATAAACCTCCTGGTAAATGAATTCTGAAAGTTTCAAGTTGATCTGATACACGGAAGTATTTTTCAGGATTTTTCAAAGGTGATTTAACGAGAATTTTCCAACTTTTTTGGTATTAAGTTGGAAAAAACCTCATAATTTTATTCCTGAGCCTAAAATTGACTTCAAATTTACCTAGTATGATATAAACCTCCTGGTTAATGAATCCTGAAAGTTTCAAGTCGATCTGATACTCCGAAGTATTTTTCGGGATTTTTCAAATGTGATTTAACATGAATTTTCCACCTTTTTCTGGTATTAATTTGGAAAAAACCTCATAATTTTATTTCTGAGCTTCAGATTGACTTCAAGTTTGCATTGTTTGATGAAAATATCTTAGTTGATAGGTCTTGAAAGTTTGAAATCGATCTGATACTTCGAAGTATTTTTCATTGATACGAAAAATTCTGACCTAAAAATAAATTAAATTTTGAACTACTTAATCTAAGTTCTACTGATTTCTGAAGTTCTCGTCGTTCTGATATAAAAAAATGATGATCCAAGATAACCAACCAAACGACATTCGGGTGCAGCGACTTTTTGACAGAATTTCATCTTCATCAACCACAAAAATTTCAGAAAAGGAGAAAAATTATCAATTCATGTCTAATTTGATAGAAAACATCAATTATTCAATAAGGAATACAGAAGTTAAGCAACGAGTGGATAAGAGCCTTAAAAGTATGCAAAAATAGTACGGTATTAATGGCACAAACCTGTTATTTCAGGGACTATTCTTGTATTTGATAAGAGCAGCTAATCATTGAATGTCAAGCAAGATTAATACTTTCATTGATTTGAATATGCCTTGAAGCCAACCTTAATTGGAAAAATAACAGTAAAATTAAAAGAAATAGAGACCAGATTACAAGAAACAAACTAAAGTTCAACAAGTTATTTTCACGAGAAGAATGATATTTATTATGTGCAGGGATCTGAAGCCAGAGTGCAAATTCTTACTATTTCATCAAACATTATGTTTTGTGACCTGATGAAGATGATCTCCAAAAAAAAACTCACTTAACTTTATTACTCAAAATTAGTTAAAAATACCAACCCAGACAAATAAGCATAGGCACAAAATAGGGAATAGATTTCCTGTTAATACAGCTAAAGGGATGGTCATTTTAATACGGGACATTCTAACATATTGAAATGACGAACTAAGAAGCTCAAAGTCTTTAGAGATAACGGCCAAAAAATTGAAAAATCCTTCCATCTCTATATATACTTCTGAGGCTGATAAGATTTTTAGTAGGTACAAACATATCTATTTCACTTGTATCTCCATAGGTTCCAGATGATATCTACATAATATTCAACCCATGGTGTTCCCAAGATGGCGTTTTTATGGAAAACGACGAAGAAAGAAAAGAATACATCCTAAACGAAACAGGCAAAATATGGTGTGGCACATTTAAAAATCCCACAGGCAAACATTGGGTGTTTGGACAGTTCGACGATATAGTCCTACCGTCAGCTATGCTTTTAATGGAAAAATCCGGATTACCACATTCTGAAAGGGGAAATCCTGTGTTGGTGACTAGAGCCATATCAGCAATGGTAAGAGTTTTTCACATTAAAATTAGAAGCTTCTATGTACTTTGTTTCTAAAAAAAAAAGGTTTTTTTTAGATTAATTCAGTCGATGATGGTGGCCTTGTAGAAGGCAGATGGGATGGTCAATACGAAGATGGAACATCACCTTTTGCTTGGACTGGCTCTACTGGTATCATGGACCAATACTTACGATCTGGAGGAAACCCTGTCAAATACGGCCAATGCTGGGTATTCTCCGGAGCCACCGTTACTGTTTGTAGAACACTCGGGATTCCTTGCAGATCTACCACTAACTATGTTTCTGCTCACGATACCAATCAATCTATGACAGTAGACAAGTAAGCGACCAACTTTACGATAGAGTAATTACTTTACTGAATAATTTTTATAGATTTTTTGATATCTTCGGCAATAAAATTGAAGAAAGTGACGAAATCGACTGTAAAGACTCTTGCTGGAATTTCCATGTGTGGAACGATGTTTGGATGTCTAGACCTGATTTGCCACAAGGCTATGGTGGATGGCAAGTTATTGATGCTACACCACAAGAGACGAGCGATAAAGTTTATAGGTGTGGACCAGCTTCAGTTGCTGCTGTCAAGAAAGGTAAATATGAATCCTATACCTATTGCAATATTTGAAGATTATGTCAAATAGACTATCTAGTTGAGAAGGAATTGGTACTAAGATGGATTTTTTTTATTAGGTGAAGTAGGATACCTTTATGATACACCGTTCGTGTTTTCTGAAGTCAATGCAGATATCGTTCACTTTAAAGAAGATGAGGAATCAGATTGGGGATTCAGTAGACTTTCAATTAATAAATATCAGTAAGTTTCATGTCATTTTATTTTAGCCTTGCATTAAATACTTGAGAAGCTAAGACTCTCATGCGTTCTAAGAGAATAACAAAACATTCTTTGTTTTAGTGTTGGCAGAAAAATCCTCACAAAACGCATAGACGTAAACGACGAGAAAGGTGACACCGACATGTGGGACATAACATCTCTGTTCAAAAATCCAGAGAATACTCCAGCAGAAAGATTAGCTGTATACAACGCAGTGCGTGGAATCCCAAAAGCTCAACAGTTTTACGAAATTCCTTCGGAAGAAAATAACGATGTAGTGTTCGATTTGGTTGATATCGATACAGTCAATATTGGAAAAAGCTTCGACATTGTTGTAAAGATTGAAAATAAGTCTCATGAAGATAGGACTATAAGTGCTGTTCTTACTGCTGCATCTGTTTTGTACACAGGAGCAGCTGCTGGTGATATCAAGAAATCCCAAGGGATGTTTAAGGTAATTTTTTTCTCCACAATACAATCTAGCATTAAAGCATTCACAAAATTTAATTTCAGGTTGCGGCTGGTAAAGAGGACACAATGAGAATTCGAGTATCACCTGAGGAATATCTGGACAAGTTAGTAGACCACGGTTCAATAAAAATCTATGCTTTAGCTACCGTGCAAGAAACCAAACAAACATGGAGCGAAGAAGACGACTTCACTATGCTTCTGCCAGTGTTGAATATATCCATGCCAGAATCGTGTGTGGTGCATCAACCGTGTGAAATCGATTTTAGGTAAGAAATCTTGTATTGTTATTATTTAATATTAAAATTGTATTTTCTAGTTTTACAAATCCGCTGAATATCCAATTGACAAATTGTATCTACACCATCGAAGGTCCGGGTTTACAGAAACCAAAAACCGTGAAACATGAGAATATTGAACCCCGTACTGAGGTTAGATTCAATCATACCTTCACTCCTCAGAAAATTGGTGCTAGAAAATTGGTGGTCAGTTTTACTAGTAAACAGATTCAAAATATTTCCGCTAGTTCGATTGTTAGGATTGATGGATAGGTATTAGCAAATGTATTAAGTGTTTTGTGAATTTTTAAAATAATTTTAAGAATATTTTTTTATTTGTTTAGGTCGTATGTAGGCTTAGATTTGTCATAATTATTTTTGTATCAATTCTATTTTATTTCCATATTCTCCTTATACCTACGTTTCAGCTAATATTTATCTTATTAATAGCCCTGATGGCTAAATTCTGGTATAAAATATACATATACATTTTTATAAAATATATATTTTTTCAAATTTGCTTTAACTCTATCCAATACTAAATTATTACTGAATGGGGTATCACTGGTTGTGGTTCATCTTCATCATTTTCAGGATCATATCGATATAGTACTCCGTTTGACATCATGTATCTGTCCAGTGTTTGTAATCCACATCATTTGATTTGGGCACCTAAAAACTATCTATATAATTTTCTTGACTTCTGGGTCTCTCGCATCTGGTCTTCCAGTTGTTTCCTTGTACCCTCATTTGGTAAATCAACGCCTACTAATCCAATTTCAGTTTCATCAATAGGGGAGCGTGACAAAGTGTCAGCTATAACATTGAATCAACCTGGTATAGTCCAACACATACCATTTTAAAGTCACGTGATTTTTCTCTATCCTTGTTGAATACATCTCAAACAGCGGTGATAGTAAAATTGACAAAAAAATTGCTGTCTAATTATTGTTCATAAAATTCTTACCTGAAATGGAATCCGTCATTGTCATCAATTAGTTTGTCATTTTAGAAAATGATACAACGAACAAACACAGCTAATAATTTTGACTATATTAGCCTTTTTCCAACTCAAAAAGAAGCAAATAGAAAACGGGTACCCAATTCAAGTTCAGAATGTATTACAAGGGGCAGCAGAAGCGACAAAAGTGAGTCTCGCAACAATGGCAAGTATTAAAATTCTCATCTGATTGGTCAATACTACTTCAGAAACGCGTTTGTAAAATGCTAGTGGGAACATATCTTAAAATTCAATAGTAATTAACCACCAGTAGCTTTTTGTAGGTGATATCAACGACATAATCAACGAACATACGTTTTTTGCCACCAATATCACGTAACTTTAAAATGGTATTTGTCGGACTTTGTATTCAATTTTTAGATCATAATTTTGAAGTGAGCAAGTCTTCCACTGGGTGACTTTAAGGAGAGCAACCGTTTTAGGGGCTGATGGTCGCTTTTAACAAGGACTGTTTCAGACTCCAAATATCCCCGGAACTTCTCAACTGACCAAACTACAGTTAGTGCCTCTCTCTCTGTAAAGTTCATTTCACGAAAAGAGATAGTGAAAGTAAACAAACTTTGACAGGTAAGTCGAATTTTATTGGCTATAGTATGTTTTTTAATCAGAGGGTACACATAAAAGTGTCAGAATGCATTTAGTATAGGTAGTTCATTGGCGTGCCTATATAAGAAAATAATTTTCCAAATAAATTTCTCAAAGACAGGTAGGTACGATTTTTATATGTTTTCACATCAATTTTAAACAGGTAAAAAAAAATGAAAATTGGAGGTTTACTGCCAAGTAAATTTGTGAATATAAACCGTAACTATTATTATAGAATCATTATTTTACCTGAGCAAGACATTAGTTAGAGTACTCAGAATTAGATAAATTATCATAATGTTTCTTCTTAAAAATGTAGGTACTGTATAATATGGGTTTATTTGGAATAGTTTTAGCAATTTAGCATTAGTTTTCTTGAAGCAGCAATTTAGCAGTTAAGTCCTAAACATTGAACAGTGAACAGTGCGGTTTCGGCTTTCATATTAAGTGATAAATGAATCCTTCAACGAGCTCTTCCTCTTTTCCGGTTAGAAGAAAACGGAAACCTTTAAGTTATAATGAGAAAATCACACTACTGAATGTATTTGATAGCCTGAAGTTAAGACATTTGCAAAGTTCGGAAGCTAGTGTAGTCCGTATGTGCCAAAATGAAACAGGATATGGAAAAAACACGATTTACAGAATTCTTAAAGAGCGGAAAACAAAAGCTTTAAGGTAAAAAATGATATTTAACTACTTATTTTCTGCATTAAGTACGTGCTTGCCGAATTTCTCAAGCAACTTTCTTGTATTACAGAGAACCCTTAAAACCATCGGGCAGAAGAAAAATTAACCTTGATGAAGACATCTTGAATGGAATTCGAAGAAAAGTCCATTCATTCTATTTTAGAAAAGAAATACCGACCTTGGACAAAATTCTGGCAGTCATAAAACATGATGACGACATACCAAATCTAAGTAGGAGCAAGCTCTGGAATACTTTGAAAGAGTTGGGTTTTAATTTTGAAACACACGGAAGAAATTCTATATTGATTGAGAAGGACGAAGTAGTATTTTGGAGAAGGGACTACTTGAGAAAAATTAAAAGGTACCGTGAAGAAAATAGGCAAATTTTTTACCTTGACGAAACATGGATAAATCAAGGGTATACTGTTAAAAAAATGTGGCAAGATAAAAACGTTAAAAGTTCTCGTCAAGCTTTTTTGGAAGGATGGTCAACTGGTATAACTCCACCAACAGGAAAGGGAAAAAGACTAATCATCACTCATATTGGCAATGAGAATGGGTTTTTAGAAGGCGGATTGCTGCCACCCTTTATATCAAACCGTACTGGAGATTATCATGAGGACATGAATGCCGATGTGTTTGAAGAATATTTTGAGCAGATGATAGAACTTATTCCCGAAGGCTCAGTTATAGTAATGGATAATGCCAGCTACCACTCCAGAAAAGAAGAAAAAACTCCAATCACGTCCTGGAGCAAAGTAAAAATACAAAATTGGCTATTGGAAAAAAATATACCCTTCGAACAAAATATGGTAAAGAAAGAATTGCTTGCAATAGTAAAGCCATACAGGTCCAGATATTCCAATTGTATCGTAGATGAAATGGCAAAAAAACAGGGAAAAATTGTTCTTAGGTTACCCCCTCACCATTGCGAACTGAATCCCATCGAGTTAATTTGGGCACAAGTCAAGGGATATGTTGCAAGAGGAAACACAACTTTTAAAATAAAAGATGTGGAAAAATTGTTTCACGAGGCAATTCAAGAAGTAAGTGCTGATAAGTGGCGGAAGTGTATTAAGCATGTTCTTGGCGTAGAGGAAAGGTTTTGGAAACTGGACAATTTAATTGAGGCAACAGTTGAACCTTTGATTATAAATTTGAATGATGACAGTTCTTCATCAGAAGATTAATTGAAAAAAAAAGTTCCAAGAATTAGGGTCTTCAAAAAAAAAAAAACATAGAATGCTCACGAAAACGTATGTCGCGCATTGAACGTCTATTTCCATAAATAATGTAATTGGGACAGAAATTATGTCAAAATTTTTGTATTGACATTTATTGTCCCTTTATTTGTCAGTTGATAGAAAACAGCTAAGACATAAGCAGAGTAACATAAGTACGCTTAAAAAATCATAGCAATCTTTGATTGGTGTTTTTTTTTGAAGACCCTAAAAATTATTATTCTTATTAGGTTTGTTCCAATTTAATTTGTTTGTATTGTAAGTATTGGTTTGTATTATAAGTATTGGTTTAAATTGTTTGTATAATTATGTAAGTACCTTCTTTAAATTGAAAATAAAATAGATTTTTTTTTAAATATTCTGTTTTCCAAAAATCTCTTACCTGCGCCTATGGGTCATAAAATTTACAAATATACGCCTCTTTAAACCCGAAAACCCATTGTTTGGCGAGGGAATTTCGGCTGAAAAGAGTTTCGGGTGGGTTTTCTTGAAACAGTTTGTAAAAATTGGGTATGTGTAAACGAATGAGGATAATGAAAGTGTTGGATCACTCTGTAAGGGGTTTAAGGGATTAAAATTTGGTGAGTTTGATTTATCGTACCCAGTCATTAAAAAACAGACTATAGAAAGGGATTATACTCCCCCTAGGCAGGACCGTCTTAGGTTGTTTTGTATTTCTGTTATCTTCTCTGAATATATTTCCGAACGAATTCTTCAGCAGAATCTGTTGAACTTGATATTGTTTTCATCTAAATTGCTCACTAATTAACAATAATTCACCAACCACTATTTGAATAATTGCAAGATACTAGGAAATACGACATTAAACCTATTGACTCATGTGACAACCTGACAATAATAAATGTCATTAGTTGTAATTCATATTTTTGCAGTCCTTCTCTGAATTTTTAAGCTCCGTCTGTTTGTTTACCTCTACTATCTCGTTTCGTGGAATGAACTTTAGTTGCATAGTTTTTTTCTGCAGCTGTGAGCAACCTACTGGCATACTCAACTGGTAGTCGATTCTCGAATTTGGTAGAAGTGAACGTTCCCCTGTTCCCCTAAGAGAAGTGAGAGATCACATCGCACGCTCGTTCTCTTGGTGCCAAAGTTGGTATTCTCGACTGTATGGGATTATGATAAAATGAGAGAAAACTTGTCAAATAATAATGCGTTGTTGCCAACAGTAATATGTAGAATTAGCCACAATTTTAGTGTGTTAAAAGGACGAATGTCATGAGAAAGAAGAAAATCAGTTTGTTTTATTCGTTTTATTTGTGTTTCGGGACGTAACATCATTCTTTGCTTATTTATTTAATGAAAATCAAATCATTAATCCTTCTATTTACAATTTTTATTTTCGTGTTGTTTTGTTTATGTGGAAAATGAATTTGGAAAAATCAAGATGTTCAGTTGCCAACGACGTAGCTATAGCTTTTCCATGGAGGGGGGTTTAGAGCAGTGGCGGCTCGTGGTTTATGCTGGAAAGGGTTTCAATTTTAGACCAGACGATGTATAGGTATAACCTGGCACAGCCGCTGGAGGATATCGCCGAAGGCGAAAAATTTTTTCAAGTTCCACGCTCAAAAACGTTTATTTTTCTTAAAAAAATAAATAATTTATTCAGTTAATGGGGGGGTTTGAACCCCCAAACCCCCGCCTTATATACGTCCTTGTGTGTTGCCAACATAATTACTAAATTTTTGATTTGGGGAATTATCTTTAAAAAAAAAACAGACTTTATAAA